CTCTTTCACTTACAATAATTCTTTTAAATAAAAAATAATATAATAATATTAAAACATTTATCAACTGTACTAACCTTAGTGCTTATGGAATTACTAGTTCCATCTCGTGGTCAACTGCAGTCATAAGAATTAAAGAACTGCCCCATCTAACGGAAGCAATGTGAAACATTTTCCGTGGAATAAAAGCTTGCGCCATCTTGTAATTATTGGCGTAGTCCGGAAGGCTCCACGGCTGCTCTATGACTGAATCTTATAGGCTTCTGTATTAACGAATCTATAAATAGCTCGTCGTGAAACTAAGAAGCAGTAAGACCTATTTAAGGTTCCGTGTAACGGCGTTACGCTATTTTCAGACATTCGTGTGCAAAATCTAACGGCGGCGTTCGGTTGGCCGTTATTTTCGTTACCCGGAGCTTCTACGGTTCATTGGCGCGCTTGACAGATGGCATGTAACAAAAATGTTCTACTTTCTACTAAATTTGACTTTTGAAACGTGAGAATACTTCACGAAACATTTGTTGCCTGACCTTATTTTTAAGTAGTTTTTTATTTATTTATTGAAACTAATGATGACACTCGAATATTTTTTGTTGTTATACCTTCAGTCTATAATAAAAATAAAGTAGTAATGTGCCATTCGCATAATGTTCTATTATACAAATATTTCCTAAAGAAAATTATGAAAAATTAAAGAAAAATTTTAAACAAAATGGGATTTGATTCTCATCACAAATCAGTTTATTCGAGTCATGCCATGCGACTATATACTTTTAAAACGCATCAACGATGAAAACTGGTTCTTATAATCATAATGCTTAAAGGTAATTGTTTACAATAGTGGTACGGGCGTTTTTCATACACAATTATGTCTGAAAAAATAAATAAAGTAAGAAGTAAATAAAAAAAAACGTTGTTTACATAAAAAGGGGAAAGCGCCCTATTGTAAAGAATAACTTGTTAAATACTTACATAAATCTATAGGTGTCAAAACGTATCAGGCAAAATCTATACCGGTATGAACTTCACCATATCGGCAATCACAGCAAAGAGAAGATTAGTATAGAGGTTCAGATTAAACTTTTCATAACAAAGTGGAAGAAAGAAACAACTCTTTAATAGGTTTTGAAGGAATGAGATTTTGTGCCTCAGCTGGAAATGTTTGGGCTTATTATGAATATACCTAGCTGTATGTATTACTATATGATATCTAAACGAGCTCATGTCAATGATCATTGAAATAGTTTTTTTCGAACAACCGTTTCTTAAATACGTAAGGCCTTATCAAAATATCCCGCATATTTTGATTGCCAAGCACTTCCGGATGGATTTTCTAAAGGCTTTTCAAAAAAGGCTTATTCAAAGTGGAAACGATGCATCTACAAGATTATGTTATCGTTTTCCATAAGAAAAAAGAAACAATAACATATTCTTGTAGAGAGTAATATAATAATAAACTCTGGTGAATCATCATAGAACTACATTAGGACAACTCATTAATTAAACATTAATGTAAAAAAAACTATATCTTTATTTTTGTTATTATTAAATAAAGCGACATCTAACTGTCATCGTTTGAATTACATAGTTCCGGGAAACACCGATATTCCCTATATTTTCGGTTATGAAGCGCTAGCTGTACGTTTGTAACAGTTAGAGTCACTCAACGTAGTGATTACATTCTCTTTGGAGTCACTGCCGGAATAAGTAAGAGCGGGGCCGGTAGCAAATTCTTTCAAACTTCCCTTGATCTGCTATGGACTCTTAAGCATAAATTTGTAAAAAAGCAGTTGACTACTCTTACTTATTTAATAACTTACACTAAAAAAAAGACTCAAGCACTGATAAGTGTGTTTAATTCAGCCCATTTAGTTTAAAAGGCCCGTAGAAATTGCTACTCTTACTACGTGGTTAATCCGGCACTGGGTAGAGTTGGGCTAAATATGTCACCGAAATGAAAAGATCTATAAGTATTTTTTCATATTGGTGATACGTATCACTTTTTTATATCAATAGCTCTCTAGATACTAGAGCAATAATTGTAACGATGTCAATCCATACGCAAAAGAAAGGAATTGAGAAATATTTGTATATGTCAACAACCTAGTGTTGCGTAACATAAAGGGTGATTTAAATCTTACCTTTTAGCCGTTTGAAAAAAAGCATTACCGTAAACGTTGATTTAAAAGGAAGAAAGCAACGGATGTATTGGCTCATCGGGAGATGACCGAACATAATATTTTATAGGAAGCGATGATACCCTACCATATGGGTAGCATAGATTACCGAGCTTAAACATGCGTTATTTTTTCGCAAAAGAAATTATAAAACGCAAATCTGAGCCATTACGTCAGTGGCTTCTACTAGATTATTCATTACTATTTAACATTTCTGCTATACGTTACTAAAAATAAAGTGTGTTACAATTAGTTTAAATGCACTTATTTGTAATTTAAGCATTATTATAGCAACACAAATAGCATGGACCTGTATATAGCCACAGTATAGTCGTAACGGTTAAAAAAAAAAAAAAAAAATCTATGCAAAAATTATATCCATACTAGTATTATGGATGAAATGAAATTTGGTACACAGATAGTCGGACTTCAACGCGAGCCAAAAAGCTAGTATAAAAGAAAAAAATCTCTACTAGATAAGAATACTTACTACGTATAACTAATTTACCCTATATCACTTGTACAACTGAAACGAATCTCATGATGATATGATGAAATACATCAAAAGGATTAGGCTGTATGATATATTATATATATATACTTTATTGAACACCATAAAACATAAAAGGAAATGTTACAGAACTATAAACTTAAGAGGTATAAACAATAAGGCGATGTCTTATCGCTAAGGAGCGATCTCTTCCAGACAACCTTGTGGCTAAAAATATTTTAATTTAGACAACGGTAGGTCGTGCAAATGATAAACTTACATACTATCATTTAAATGAACTAAAAGAAAATATGTTGTATTTTTGTATAATAATAATATAATTAAAACTTTTTTACTGATATCACATATTCAAAATTGCAATGCGATAATTTGCCCCGTGTGCAGTAAGTCCTACTTCTCTCGAATACACTAATGGTCTCAAAGGAATCGTGGTTCAAGATAATGATGGCAAAACTCTCATATTCAATATATACCTAAAGGTGTAATGTCTAATGGCAATAAGAGATTACTTATATAATTTAAAATGTTCCCATTATCCATTAAATTGACTCTCTTTTATTGATTAAGATCTTATCCCTATCACTTCTTTTGTGTCTGTTATTTGTGTGCTCTAAAGGTGATCAATTTATCCCTTGGACAAGCAATTAATTTCAAACGCCGGGGGATGACTGGGTTCCTATCCAGCTTTGGAGGCTTTTCAGGCAAATCTCAGTTAGAAGATCTTCAACTTGATTTTTCGTTGTGGTAGGGCCATGCAGCTACTTCTACTGTTACACAAAAAGGCAGCCTTCTCCGGAGAAGCCACGCACTCATTCTGTGAGACCGTGGTATTTCTTCCGAGTGAGTTGACTTCTCAATACCGTAAAGACCATCTGTTATACTTTTCCGTTTCATTTGAGTGAGATGTACGAGGCCTTTTCTTTTACGTCTTTTGAAAGCCCAAGAAGTGCTATCTTCTTAGATGTCGCAAAGGCATTCAATAAAGTCTGACACAATGCCTCGCTTTATAAACTGTTTGCACGCAACTTGCCAAACAAACTCTTGGACTCTTTCGAAACACCGCTCTTTTCGATATCGCGTAGAGGGAGTGGAGAGGGATTTCTCAGTGCGGACCACCTCCTTACGACAAGCGTTCCTCAAGACTCCTTTCTCTTCTTCTTGCTCTTCTCGCTCTATATAAATGACATGCCAAGATACCCAAGTCAATCGTTCGTTTCGCGGATGGCAAGCTCGCGGGACCAGGAAGATAGAGCAAATTACATTGTAGGTGGGAACCTTTGAAAAAGTAGACATTCTTTACATTTCTTATGTCCATAAGTAAATAGCTGGGAGTCACTTTAGACTTCAGAAAGACATTCCCAAAAAATATAAAAAATGTAAGAGACAGAGCCGCGTTTCGGACTGGCTCCATAACTTAACTTCTAGTAAAACGCCTTTTCGGGACAAGCTTGCGTACGACTCATAATAACTGTGTCCTTTGTTCTGCGTTCCCTGAACCTAGACTATTAGTCTACAGACTAAAAGCCGAAGTATCAGTTATATTAAAATTAAACTAACGATGTGATTAGCTCTAAAAGGAACTTTACTCAAAAAGCTAAATATGTATAGGATTTGCAATGAAGATATCTTTTGGTGAACTAAAGTGACCGATTTTGTCACAATTTTGATTTGCGCAAGAGTGACTGGTGCTGTAGACATGACTTATAGACGTAGACTTAAACGCAGGAGTTGTTAAGATTCCCACTGGCTAGATGAAAGTCACCTACAGACTTGTGATGATGACTGACATGGATAGCATTCATGTAAGTAGAAAGATAAAAGTTGTTAATCTTATATCTTCCGAACATACTTATATCAGTTACGTAATTAACAACATTTAGTAGTTGATTGTTATTAATTACAGTGATAGGTACCAGCATTTCATGTTTGCAACTATTAAAACACAGCGTACAAAAACATTAATTTTATTTTTTATAGACAAAAGGAGGTATAAAAGTATAAGCTCAATTTTATTATAGAAGTAATAATAAAATGACTTATAATCAAAAGGATATAAATAAAATATATATAAGACTTATCATCTATACACAAAACCAACTTGGCGCTACTTGGAACAGAAATGTACCTGAGTAAATTAGGTACAAAGGGCTATTTTGATGATTTTGAAACATATCTCTGTAAGATACCCTATTCTCACGCATGACTAGAAGATTTTCACATGATAACAGTCTCACAAGAGCGTCCATAACCTTTTAGTTTTGCACAACAAACTTATAAATAATATCACTTTTTGCGATCTTGGCGTTCAGTGTTCACTTGCCGAGCAAGATCTTGCGACCAGCGCCGAGGTTCTGGCCAGATTGGGAGGCGCCTTTGTTGGATCCGGCTTGAAGACCGATCACAGTCTGTCCGGCCTTCAGAACTTCCTCTGAGAAATCGCGTTTGCATTCTTCAGAGGGCTTGGGGCCCAGGTAAGGGCCATTCCACTCGGGGTGTCTGTAGGTCTGGAGGCAAGAAAAATTTTATGTTAATTCATCAACATTCAATCGGTCTTTTTCTCATGTAATGAGGCGTTACGCAATACGGCTCCCTGGGATATTTGTGAAAAGCGAGGCAATGTTGCATAAAAGTCGTAAAACACCGTTTAACTTGGCAAAGATTCAAAGCTTTGTATCGAATCGTACGTAAATGGCTTATAAAGCAAACAAATTATACAAATGCTATTTCAGTTACGCTAATCTTTATTTTTGGGCTCTTTGTCTTATAAGCGCATTTAGTAGAAACACAAATTAATTTTGATACGCTTAATTAAAGATAAACAAGTGCTTGTGATCATGGATCATTGTCATTTCAAACGGTGCCTAAAATTATTATGCATTTTCGTTAATCTCTTTTATTTTATGCTAAATAACGCTCTAAACATTTATTACAAATAAATAATAATTTGAATCACTTACTTCACGCCCGAGAGCAAACAATGTGCTCACAACTTGGGCGATGTCTTTCTTTTCCCATAGGTCCACAGTTTGGAATACATCGATGTCTGGGACACCGTAAGCTTTTATGGCCGCTTGGAAGCTGCAATTGGCACATTCATTAGAAATCACTTAGATTTGAAATACTCTGAACATATTTATATTATTTTAAATATTCTTGAAATATGAAAATCGAGAACGCTGTTTCGTGTCTTCTAATGAATATTTTAGTCTTATCATCAAATTTTATTTTATTCTGCTACAAAGGAGAATGGAGTGACTATTTGCAGTATCGTTAATTCTTAAATACCATCAACGCGATATAATTTTCTATTAGATACGGGTATATAATCTATATTTACTTGGTAATGTTCTCCATCATTTTGAACTGCCCACCAGAACTGTTGATCTTGGCTACTGAGCCAGGTTTCAGTTTGTTGATAAGCTGACAGAGGACTGTTCCGTCCTTAAGGACATCTTCGAACAATTCACCAGGGGGGAATTTGGCACCTAAGACACCTTCAATCCACTCCTGGGCCTCTTTCTCTCGTTCAGGGCTGCGCTTGGAAGCGAGCTGTAAAACGATATTCATGTGAGTAATATTCGATATCAAAATTAGTGTTGCCTAACAAAGTGTTGGAACAAATTTTAGGACGGTTAACGAGATCGTGAGAAGATATTTTTAAATGTTCTAACCTTGGCGCGGACTTGACGTTCCAGAGACATGTTGTGTTTTGTGTGTGTCTGCTTGCGAGGGGTGATTCCGCTTCAGATAGCACGGCTAGACTGAACTCCTGAAAGCCGAGTCCACGTATTTATAGTGCGCGCAGGCTGCGCCCTTCTGGAAAACTCTCACGCAGTCACCGCGCCACCGATGAGCGGCCGCTACGAAATAAGCTTCTGACTCAACAGCCTTATTTGAAGTGACTTCATTGAAATTGTATGAAGGAAATGCCTGTGACAGTGTTCGTCAAGGCTAGTTTTCGAATACCACAACATTTTTATTTAAACTTTCCTTTTTGAACTTTCCCCAAAAGTACCAAATGCTCCGAAGTCTTACGTTTTTGGACCCAGTCTCTGTGGCTCAATACAATACGTGCTTCATGGAAAGCTAAAATCTACCTTTCCTCGTCTTTATGTGTCAGAATCTTTATTGACAGCATTGCTTTATTTAATATATGTTAAAATTGATTGTTTTTAGGGAAATATTCCTTAAAATTAAATTTCATTTATATCGTACCTCCTCTTACCTCTTGTTTCTATGCTAATCATACTTTGTTTAAACAAATATTTTACGGACATAATCGCGTCGAATATTTTGTTAGGTCTAAGACATTTTTTACATGATCATACATGAATTGAAGTATTTGAAATAGAGGAAATAAAAAATCAAAATTTAAACGTGATAATAACACGTAAATTAAGTATACTTTCTAAATTTAATCCAAATAGCTGATATAATTTTACAAAATTTGAATTAGCCAATTTCATTCTTAAACCTCGCGCGATTATAAATGCATAAATATGCATACCATGACAAAATGGATGAAACAATTTTTATTTAAAGAAATTACATTCTGTTCTATAATAATTTTGGATAAATCCAATACTTATAGGCTTGTTATCAACTTAAGTGTTTAACGTGTGAAATGTAAGTGATATTTTATTAAAAGAATATTGTATGCTCTTTATTTAGCTGTTTTTTTTTAAAATAAAACCACCGACGTTCTAACATATTTATCATTGGATGTGATTACATATAAAAATAGCTTTTAATCTGATTCTTTGATATCACTTTTATTTTAAGCGCCATAGCTCAATGAAATCACTCAATCTTTCTCCACGAGTGGAAACGATAAACATTTCTTTTTCAAAGAAATATCGGAATAACAACCAGTAATGTGTTTCGGTTTTTAAAGCAAATAAGATCTTAATTTTGTTTCACACCAAATTAAATTATTATTTAAAAATTAAAAATTAAAATATTATTGCTAAAACATATTTAGAATATGCAAATATTCATATATTTTCATACAGAATGTATAATTTATAAGTTGTATAAAAAATTCATCGTCTTTCTAAAAGGTATAATTTAAGGTATTTTTTTTTATAAAAGAAATTAAATTATATCGCTAGAAGGCATTGTGATAATACGCTTCATTATGATATTCCATCAAACTCACAACGAAAAAGTATTGTTAGTTTACATATGAAAGAAAATTCAAAACCTTATAAGTAATTATTTTTGGAATTTGCCGTGTTTAATTTTATCGGCGTACATTCAACGTTATGAACTCATCGACGCTTTCGTCTTCTTATAAAGTCAATATAAATTCAAATACAGTGTTTTCCAATTCCAGACTTAATTGTTAATTATATTACTATACAGACGCCTTTGTATCCGTTACTTAAAATTATAAGACCCCAATTCACATGGCTAGCCTTCTTACACTGTTTTAGATCTAAAATGATCTAATTAAATGTGGAGAAGTCCGTGGCCTAGTTGCCAAGGTATTGGCTTCGGCGTCGGGGGTCGTGGGTTCCATTCCCACACGGGGCAACTATTTGTGTGACCCACGGATAGTTGTTTCGCATCTGAGGATTGGTCAGCGTGAAATTTATGTTTGTAAAATGTCCTTAAAACACAGGATAATGTTATCCTAAAGCAAAGGTAATGTTTAAAAAATAAAATAAAAAAATACTATGACCAATTTAATCTTACCTTCTTCTGACGGAAAAACTTTTTTATGAATTTAGGAAATGTTTGAGGGCGTATATATATAACATGCTTATATTATGTATATTTACTTTGAAAGTCAATATTTTACTCCTATCTTCTTAGGCGAATTTTCCAAAATCACTACAAATTCGACATTAGGAACTCGATTAGGAACTATTCGTTACATTGTATTTTCATAGTTTATATTTAAAATCGAAAAAAAATCTTATATTGCTTTCAACGAGGTTAGACGTAGTTCCTGTTGAGATTACTTCGCCTTAATATACTAGCAAAAGTAAAATATGTGGAGCAATAATAAATCTTCACCTTCACGATGTGAACGGCCCTGCAGGCGGCCGTCGTTCCGCCCACCAGGGCGTTCGTGATGCCGCTGAGTTTTCATTGTCACCGATACTCACGTGTGTACCGGTGTGAATATCGTCAACTAGTATATACACAGGTTTTTTAAACGTTTTTAAACACAACTTACGTTACTATCGTTGTCTAACAATATACGACAGAGCAGAAACAAAACGTTAAAGGATAATCTTGTTATAGCAAAATTTAAAGTGTTTGGCAAAGTTCTACATGTTAATTATCGGTGCTAACTTTTTTGCGCACGTATTAACTTTTATGTAAAATTATAAAGTTTCATAAGAACGCCCAATATTGTGAATAAAGAACGCCCGTCTATGTGAATAAAGATATTTTGTTTTTTGAATTTTGAATTTTATATAATAATCTCCTCTGTAACCTATACATCAAATCGTCACTGCTTTAGCAAGGTGGATTTTATACCATATATTTTAATATATACGTAGCGCACCCGATGTCGCTAAGACTTTGTTCCGATCTTTTGTGGTAGGTGTTATAATGTTTCAGCATCCTTATGCATCATCGTTAACTTATGTATGTTAAATCGCTAACATGCGTATCAAAAATGTTAAACTGTAGAAACAATGTTGGCCTAGTTCCCTTTTTCTGCAAAATGACTGCCTCACATGTGTTATGCGATACCCAATAGTTTGTACTTATTATGTCCGATAAAAGTGAAATCTTGGAAAACCATTTATCGCAATATAATGGAATACAATAAAACTTGAATTAAATACACAATGGAATATCATTTAAGTATTAAGGAATTCTACATCGGATTATATCCATCCATTAAGGTATTCCAGTTCCATATATCCAACATTATATCCATTAAGGTAAATCAAAATAAAGACAATAGAAAAACCATAAAAAGAAAATAATTTAAAAAATGACCAGCCTATTAACAGTTTACACGTTGCATTTTTACACTAATATAGAATTCTATCGAAATTATATATCATCTCATAAGGCCAAAGGCAATTGATTTAAGAAAATCTGACATGAGAAGTGGCGTGCCAAATTATTACACATTTCAAAATTAATCATAACAACCGCGACACGTTAATGTGGAATATTTTCATCTATAAATTATGACGGTACAAGTTCAATGTCAAATTTGTTATTTATTTAATGATAAAATATTATAGAACCTCATGTACATTATGATTTATAGTTAAAGTGTATGTGTGTTTATAAATGTCATTGCAAATTACTGTGTTGTACGTCTTCTGGTATCATTGAACCTACTTTTAATTCTTTCCATGGTTGGTTTAATGTCTAATCTGACAAGGCGCCACGCGTAGGCCAAAAAGCCTAACATTCAAACTTTGTATACATCGGCTGAAATAGATCACCATTTTATTGTCCGTGCTGCATTATTTTTTGTATATTGTAAAAATAGTGTCTTGATCAGCAGCCGAGTACGTGGCGGCACGTCACTAGTGCTATTCGACGTTACTCTTGCGTGCTTTACATTGGCGCGCAGTGAATCATTCCAACTCCCAAATTATATTTTCATAACACACCCAAATTTAGACTGTGTATATTATTTTCGCTATGCCAGACACAGCGAGCGCAAGCACGGTTCTTTGCTAGTATAGTTTAGGCCATTTATTAATATTTCAATGTTCACATCACAAAGGGAGGCACAAATTTGTACGTTAATTGACTTTATATTCATTATTATATAGTACACATACTATACGAATTAAAACGTTACCTATATAAAATGAAAAAATAACGTTTAAATCAAACACACTATCTATAAACGAACACAACGTATTACCGTAAATAATAATCGAGTATAATTCATTAAAATAGAATAGTTATATTTGAATTCTTTCTTTTTTGTTTTGCTGAAAAACACTTTCGATCTTTGTGGATTTGTCGGTCTAAACTCAAAAGGGTTAAATATAAGGCAATAAAATAAAAGGCATATAAAGTCATCCAAAGTCTTATTAGTCAAGCCTTATTATACGCGAACGTATGTCTTTCAAAGCTCGATAAGTCTGTTAGAGGAATTTAAGTCGTGTAATTTTAAGTTATCTTAATTTTAATACATATTCTCAATGAATAACTAATGGTATAGTGTTAAAGGTCACAATTTAGAATTAAAACGACCCAAAATAACAAAAGTCATGCTCTTCAAACAGTGACAATATTATGAAAACTCAATTGCGATTCAGTAATCTCTTTATTAAAACACCCTTCACATGCTCATCAATAATATTACATACACCCAAGGTACAATACTATGATGAATGTTACATATATACAATGCCTTATATTACATCACATATTTACAAAGTTGTTTAAATTTCAAATATTAAAACAAATCACATACATAAATATTTATGAAATAATTACTTAAAACGAAATCGGCATCACACAATTTATCATTTGACTAGACAAAGTATTTGGTACACGGCTACATATTACAATTTCGATTACATTGGAATGTGAAGATTTGAAAGAGCTTTTAATGAAAACATCTATTATTCAACATTTATATCTATTATCGTTATATACGCATTAACGTTACTTATTTACATGGTTGATTATCACATAGATTCTCATATCGGTAGTAAGAGGGCTTATGTAACAATTTTATGTAAGCATTAACTACTCGTACATATTCGAAATCAACATAAAATATGTCTTATAAGTCACTGCAGTTCGTTCTTGTAATATTTATATCCTCACTTCCTTATGAAATCTATTATTAGTTACGCAGCTATAATAGCGTAAATTATTCCATGTCCTGTTACAACAGCCGTTTCTTTAACAAATACACAACTTTTTCGTTACCTCTTAAATTGCATTCGCCTACTCACAATGGACACGATTGATATCGCACTAAATGTTTTCGACTTTTTCGACACATTTTAACAGACCAGTTTCATAAATGATATAGTTTTCACTTTTGAAGTCCACTTATCCGTAAAACCCGAATTGTCACATAAAATACAAGGACGAGTAACTGCGCGCGGGTTTTGGCGTTTCGGAATCGATGGCTCTCAGATAGTCTTCAGTGTTGGAAAGAGTGGCCGAATGGTATAGGCGATGCTACGTCCATTAGAAAAGATGGTTATTCGTTTTGGCGAGGGTCCCCAGGTGGTCGGAGAGCAGATAGTTAGGCGGGGCGACGCCTAGCAGCGGGAAGCCCGAGGGCTGGCGCAGAAGACCGCAGCCGCCAGCCCATTTCCCGCCACCAGCGCCGCTCACGGGCGGCATACCGCCACCGCCCACGCCATTCAGCTCGTCGCATAGCTTATTCGCTGCAAAAAATCAGAATCATCGTAAATAATCGCGCATACTTTCGATATTGCATGAATGGGCAGGTCCATCCGGTTAAGAAACCACGACCACTGTGGACCGATGTGAAGTACAAGTGATGTACAGGGCTACCTCTCCCACCAGAGAGGTAGCCCTGGACCATTTATTCAAAATCTGTCAACACATCTGCAACCCTACAGGTGTTGCAAATGTCCATGAGCGGCGGTTATCACTGAACATCAGGTGAAGTTGCCAGCTTGTTTGCCACCTTCTCACATAAAGAATACAAAAATCGGTCGAATGAATATTCGCCACATTCGGTTAATTCCGCAAACTCTATGCACGGAGCGCTCGGACTCCAAACGAGCGGGGCCGTAATAAATTAGCGCATTAAGTCCGACCGAAGCCGTGCGTCCAAACTGTCCGAATATGAAATCAGGCTGCAGTCAAGCCCGGTGCGCGATATAATCGTGCTAAAGCAATTAGTGCTAATCACCTAATCCTTGCCGCGCGGCTCCGTTGTTTATTCGGGGCCGAGTGACAATCCCGCGCACAATTAGCGCAAATGAGCTGACGTGAAAATCTGGCGGCGGGAGCGGCGGCCAATAATGCGATTAACGCCATCGCTCGCCCTCGAAGCCTACCGCGTCTAGCTGCTTGCAAGCGGTAGGCTTAACGATACAATTAGCGGTTCGCTTTAGTACACTCCAGCTCTACGTTCCTAACTATTCACAGCTGTTACGTGAACTTTTGTAGATCATCATCATCCTCCTGCCCTTATCCCACCTAGATGGGGTCAACACAATCTGAATTATTTTGTAAGTGGTTCTGGCTAAGTTTTTTACGACCAGCCGGAACAAAAATACAGATCGCGAATAATTATCTGTGGGTCATACAATTACTTGACCCATATGGGAAACGAGCCCATGATCCCGGTGCCGAAGCCGATTTTAGTATCTGCGTCACCGAGTATTTGTTCTAGGTAAATGATAAAAAAATGAACAAAAATTTTGCGCATTCTGGGTAACGTTGAATTGTTGCACATTAGATAGCTTGAAGCATTGCTAAATATAAATGAAATAAACAATATAGATATCGCCGTTAGATCATCGGCCATTTAGCTCATTTGGCAAAGTGTTTAACCCAGGAGATTCGAAAGATTTTGTAACAGTAAAAATGAAAATTTTAACGGTATTAATTTCCATTACCACAGTTTGATTTTCGAGATAACAAAAACTTTTTTCGATAGAGAAAAATTACTAATGAAATAATCAACACGCAGAATTATCTGCTCACTCACAGTTTTCGAGATAAAAATTATTTAAAATTTGTTATTTTCACTACGAAAGTCTGCCATTTTACTAAGTGGACTTCAAAAACTCAATATACAGTACTGCCAATATGATAAATATAGGTAGCGAGTGACGTCATACTCGTATCGATTGTAAAATCGATAATTTTTTTTTGTAAAAAAAATTATGAGTCACAGATCCGACACAGAGCACCCCGACTCCATGTGGTCTTGTGGTCCCTACCCCTAGAGTGAACATAAAAAGGCGGAGCCAGAACCTCGCGCTGGAGGTCCTGACACTCAGGGGCGACAAAGCGAGTGTTCTGGCGAAGCACGTAGAAGAGTCAAATTTAATAATGAAATAATAATTATTAATTCATAATTAAATTTGACTCTTCCACGGCCAGAAATATGATTTTTTTTTACATTAAACAAAAAATTTAAATTTATGAAAGGTGAATATTTCGTATGTAAAAAGAAAAATCTTAGTAATTTTAATAAAAAATTAAAGAAAAAATCACTATTAATCTTAATTAGATAAGGCGTCTTGATATATAAAAATATGCAATTACGAAAAAACCTTTCAATTTGTGTTAAATAGACTTGAAATTAATTTATACTACTTACTGACTAAAAAGATTTTATAAAATTTGTAATCGAGTTCCGAAATCGATATTAGCATATTGGCTGTATTGATATTTGAGTACCTAATCATATATTAAATTTAAAAAGATAAGTATTTCCCGCTCTTTTCAATTTCCTCTTTAATATTTGTATTTGTAATGGTGGATAATATGTGCGCGACTACTAGCACTAGTGAATTATGTACGTATTGTAATTTATATTTTATCTCTTTTTATAAAATTTTATTAGAATCTCGTTCAGTACTTTTCAATTTTTTTGTGTCGTCGTGGTGTCTTGTAAAAAGTTTTGTTTGTTTAAAGTGTGGACAAGACGTATTTTTGATTTAATATGAAAGTTTTTAAATGTTACAATGTAATAATTAAACCAAAGACGAAGAAGCGTCAGTGTTTTTTATTAATGAGACATTACCATTTGGAAAAGTGTGCGACTTCAAATATGTATGTATTTTTAACAAAAAACTTTTAGTAGCTTTATATCTAACATGTTGTCAATAACAAAATGGAGGACTTTCTTAGTGCAAATAACGAGTTTTAAATATTTTTTTTCTCGACAACTATGCGCAGCCAAATATTTCTACTTATTGTTTATTTTATAATTGATTTTTCTTTATCGAATAAAATTTTTTTGCACCTGGTAAATCAAACTGTGGTAATGGAAAATTTTACCATTTTAACTTTCATCTTTAGTGTCAAGACCAGCACTAAAATAAAAATTTATCATTATTTTACCACTATTTCTCTAACTGTAGTCATTACTTACAACTCGTTTAGCTGGCACGAATTTTGTAGAAGTTCGGAAAGGAACAGAGCAAAATGGATACAATGATTAATGACAATACTTGACTGCGCGGATAGTTCAATGGTTAAAGTTGCCAACATTGTCAACTACTTTGCGTTATTGAGTTTCATTTTTGTGAAATCACCCGCGAAACATGTATGGTTTTTCTGATGTGTTACATTACATTATATTTTAAAAAAAGGTTCGACTGATAATTAATAGCTAAAAAAATGCATTACGATTAAAAAAACCATAAAAAGTCAGAGAGGAAAAGAATGTTGTAGGATTAGATGAGTAAAATATCTTACTGTCTTTGCAATACGTTTCTTTGTCATATAAACAAGGAGGTTACACATTTATATATTTTAAAATATCTTCTCACAAACAGGGCCATCACATGTTCTTGGCCTAATTGTTAAATTTAAGGTGTGGTTTAATATGCTCAATGATGTTTTTCATCATTAATACTTATTTAACATGTCAGTTTTTATTAACGAAAAATAAAACCGACTTCAAATACCTCCCTCTTTACACATTTATAATTGATTTTCAGGAGTTCTTTGGAGTATCTCCGGAGCCCAAGATCCAATACCCATGAAATTTAATATAAGACCACATGGGAGTTAAACCAAACCCAACACAAAAATAAATTTTAAAATCGATCCATAAATGTCCATAAATGATAATTCTAAATTAAAAAACATAAAAAATCAAACGAATTGAAAAAAAAAAAACATTTAAAAAAAAACTTTTAAAAAAAAAGTCGGTTGAAAATGTAGACAATATCTAAAAAAACATTTTTATTTATTTATTCTTTATTGAAAACAACTCAAAAGGGTTACAAGGGGCGGACTTAATGGCTATTGGCGGCATTCTTTAGCAGTCAACCCGGGGCATGAGCAGAAATTGTGGTGGGTGCAATAAATAAAATTGCATAATAAATTTATATAACTTAAATAATAATATATGCATTACACATCATATAACTCCAGAATATACAAGATATTATATAAAAACGATTTATGTAACACACCATATACAATACAAAAATATAAACATATATACATAATATGTATATAAATATACATACATACATTATAAATACATACATATCAAGATATATATTTAAATGTTAGGTGATTGGCACTATACACTGGTATATAAGAAATGAGACAGTGTTAGTGTCATTTTGTGAACATTTAGGATAAAACATATAAGAGTGACAAAAAAGTTCCAAGACTTCAATTTTTTTTATTAGTTTCTTTATGAAACCACTGTAACTTTAAAACCGAGCTTCGCAAATGAATGAATTCAATAACAGCTATCTGTAAGTGAGGCCGTTTTTCTTAATTTTAGTAACAATACGGAAATTTAAATTTTTGCGTGCATGAACTTAAAAATATTCAAAAGTTAATTATAACAGAAGCATAAAGCAAACAAGAAAACATTATTCAACACTAATAAAATAAATAAACTAAAGAGTCGATTAAAATTAACATTTTATTATAGAATAAAAGATGAAACTAATTTTACGGATTTATCGCGTTTATTTTTAATTTTAATTCCCGACGTTTCGAACCCTTTACAGCGTTCATGGTCACGGGACAGACTGAGACCATAAATCCGTAAAATTAGTTTCATTTATAATGTGTAATCGCGTAAATACAAGAAATTATTAGAATAAAAGATTATTAAAATGAGACTAATATTAAAGTTTCACTTTCTAATAAGTTCGTTACTGAGTATTCTTTAAAACAGCGGACGTTGATTACAAACCAATTTAATACAACCATGTCTCGAAGCGTTGTTGACCAACTTTCATTGATCGCCGTACTTGACCCGAATTGGTTTTACTCCGAAAATATGTTGAACAGATTGTATGCACACGCATCATTGTAGTGGTGGACTATATTTAAAATCTAATTCGGGCGGACAAATTAACTTTGACGAAAGCAGCCTTGTTGTGATCGCCCACGCAACGTGCGGAGCAGCTAGGAAATCGGCCAGCGATCGGCGGTGATGACTCATGGAGCTATAATTCCATGTTCAATTCAGAACATGCGGCATCTTAAAATACACCGTGATGTCGACCGCTGACATTACTACGTCAGCACCGCGAAATCGTACGTACGAAGATAAATAACAAACATTCCTGCTCGAAATAAAAATTCAAGCGATCAGTATGGTTGCGTTCTTATTCGTTTGGAATTATTTGCGAATACTTTAAGACTTTGTAGATTTTTTGTTGACGTTCAATAAGAGCTTAAGCTGAAGCTTGCCTATAAAAAAAAAGTAAAGTAACAGCCTATACATGTCCCACTGCTGGGCAAAGGCCTCCTCAATGCAGAGGGTGTCAGAGCATAGTCCACCACGCGGCCCCACTGCGGATTGGCGGACTTCACATATCTTAGAAAAATATTTTTTTGTTATTATTTCGAAAATATGCAGGTTTCCTCACGATGTATTCCTTCACCGCGGAGCACGTGATAAGTCAGCACTTAAAGTTTAAAACTCCATTGGTGCCGGCACCGGGGGTCGAACTCATGTTGCTCGAGTATATTGAAATAAAGGCGAGCGCCCGGACACTGAGCTATCACGAAGCTTGCCTATATTGAATAAAGATACATTGACTTTGACTTCAAAACTCAAAATATAAACTTCAAACGAAACTTCAAACTTCAAAAGATAAAACACCTAAGACTGAAAGACTCTCTGATATTTTTGAATACTTTTAAAAATGCCAATGTCTCCAATGAAATATATGTATGAATCATTAGTGAAAACACTTGAAGAGCTTTCGATGGAAAAAAATCTATATCACACTTTTTTACAACTTACTTTTTTACTTACGGCACAGGACATAATGGCAGCGACTTACACATTAATTTCGAAGATAAATAACTTACGAGAATCTTTTAAAGCTTTGGACGATAAATGTAATGAGATGATCAAAGGCATTTTGAAATACTGTATTCTATGAATACAATGTGTCAAATATATGCGATTGAATATAATTATATAATCAGGATGTAGACCAATAAACAAGTTTCATAGCATGCATTACGTTGTAAGTTTATTTCTGAGTTAACTAAATATAAAATGTAAATTTTGTAGTCTACCTACTTTCAGTTTGCAGTAACAACAGAACAAGTTTAATGAGCGATTTGTAATACGTATGTATATTTGGACATGCAACTTTTAACTAAGGCTCAATAGTGACAAGTGATATGTAATTGAACAAACAAATAATTACATATTTCGCCTCGTAATCGAATTAAAACCAAAAAGCTTTACAGTCCTAATCATGTTATCACTCGCTGTTTACAATCCGCACCGTGTGCGGTGTGAAAAACCATCATTTCATTTGAACGACCGCGGGGCGCCCGCTGCCAAAATATTGTAGCGAAAATAAATATTATTTCAATGTTGGTCCGACCGTATGGAGCAACGTACGGGACGGAATAACACTCGATCTACGAAAATATTAAGCTATCACCATTTCTTCCCTCACATTCTAAAAATATTCAGCACGTAAGTTGGCACTCGCGCGGCTTTGTTATCCACGGGACGGTTCTAAAGCATTTGTTAAATTACGAAATAATATTTATAGTCTTTGGTCACTAGAAAAATGTAAATATACACGAGAAATAATAATAGTCAATGTCTTCTTTTTATCTCTTTCACATTCGTTCACTCAATCAAAACGAAGAAAAGAGATTGTGTACACATTTTTCATATTAATTATAGCTGTATAATTCTCATTCACTCAAATCAAAGAACAATAAAATTTATAAATGTATATTACAAATATTATATTTTAATTTTTAATGCTAGTCTCTGTACTCAAGATGACACTTAAAATGTGAGTTTTAGGAGATAAGTGGCCAAACACTTTTGGCGCTGTGAGATTCGAACCTGCGTCTTCTATACTAGAATTATTCAAGAGATATTAGAAATTTAAAAATTACTTATATCCTCAGCTTTTTATGTTTACTTTTTCGAACTACGCCACAGTATCTTGTAATTTTACATTTTTATAATGCATTTTACAAACAAATTAGTACAAGCAAGCAAGTTTAATCACGAGTAAAAATTTAACTCCGAATTAAATCAACACGCATATTACGAGCAGACGCGTATTTCTGTTGTGGATGTACAAAAAAAATAGTCTGTTGTATACGCAATGTATACAACAGAGACTATTTTTTTTTTGGGTGGAGTGAACTTTTTATCTAAACCGTTTTATGAACTTTACCGGCTTGAATTTATCACCACGGAAATAGCAAACAAAGCATAACCTTCCCACGACTGTGCTGCAAAGCGTACGAGTCAGAACTTATAGCAGAACAAAATTGGGCCCGATGATCAAAAGTCAACGAAACGTTTAGGAGTGCCCGCGTAAAAGTGTTTGAATCATTACGATAACAACGCTTACCAGCAGACGTGATAGGCTTGAGATCGGGCGGGGAGAGATGGGGCAGCGTGTGGTGGGCGGGCTGCGGCGGTGCTGGCGGGGTTTGGTGGGGCGACGCCGGGGAGCCGGCCTTGTCCCGCTTGCCCTCCGCTTTCACGGGGGCCTCGCCCGCCTTCTGCTGCGCCAGACGCTCCTGCTTGCGGAACTTGGCGCGCCTGTTCTGGAACCAAACCTGAAAGGCGACAGATTTTTGATACGCCCGCAAATTGTGGAGAAACAAGGAGTTTTTGATGTCTATTTATACTTTTCACAAATGAATGAAATGTAGTTTCAAGTTTGTTTGTTGGAATGAAACTCCTTAACGCAGAAATCATCACTTAAGGAAAAAGCGTTATATAGGTATATCATTGGATTCTCCAGTGACTCGCTCAATGTCTCTTTCTAACGAGGTGGTTCGCTGACTGAGGAACTTTTTTTTTTAAATATTAATTAATTGTATATCAGTTTTATATATACCTATATATATATATTTTCATTTAGTTATTGTCAAAGCTGAAATTTAGGTATATCATTATCGTATTTATTCAATACATACTAAACAACGAAAGGAACTTTGTTCCACACGGTTTCCATGGTTTTCTCGTTTTTTCCTTTTTATATTCTTCAGGATTTGATTATCTATTGCAGAACTCTAAAATAGGCCATTTGCTAACCGTTATTATTATTATTACAGTCATGTCAATCTTTTTTTTTTAATGTTTACTTTAATATATACTTCTAGGAGTTGATATAACGAACGCATCCTAGCACTTCAATTTTCGTACTAAACCGTACTCGTTTTACGTTACAACGTAAACCTACTAATGATCCTAGAAAACAGAAAGTTTGCTTTGAGCAAACTCAATAAGTTCAACGTTATCAAAAACCTCTCTCTCCTGTAGATGACCACTTTTCAGAAATGTATATGTATGTCGAGGAATGATAAAGATATTAACAGAAGTTAAACAATATTACTTTTCACACTTTCATTCGTTGAATTTAACACTTCATTCATGATAGCAATTTCACCAGCGAGAGGTCAATAAAAATTGCAACTGTATTGACATCACCATAACACCGCAAACTGGACGGGAAATAATGTGAAAAAGGGAGAGACGACGCGTGGGAGGGGGTAGGGTAATGAAAACGTCACATGCCGACGGCGGACCGTGCGGACAAACAAAGTTAGTGCTCAAGCCGACTAATGGGAAGGCATCCCGTGCATCGAACGGCAAATTTTAATGCAAACCGTTTTATATTCGTACGGATGCGCGCAAATCCGAATTGATCGTAATCCGATTTGTCACCGGAGATAATTGCAACTGCCACTGGCGCTGATTGGGGAATGTTACGTGTAAAAAACACGGCCGTCCGTACAGCCGGGTCGTGCAGACACAATCATACGCGTACACTGTTTGCCCAATCCATTGTGCGCTGATGATGTTTGCCCCCTTTTATTCCTCTTTTTTCCGTTCAACTTTAACTGGCGTTGTTTTATTGTTAAATCCAACATAGTTTAAAAACTAAGTGTCAATCCCAAATAGGCAACTATTTAATAATGTTTAGTTCAAGACTCGATCCACGATAACTTAATATACATACGTGAAAAATCTTGCTAAATTGTAAATATTGGAAATTTATACAACAGTCCGCACCGAATTCCAAACATTAAACAGAGCGTAGAGAAACATAACTTTTCTTTATTTGAAAAAATAACTATTCAGCGCGGAAAATCAGTGTAGTAGTTTCCTACAACATTTTACTGAGTGATGACCTTTTTGGCATAGCCTACGGCGTACAGTCAAGCAGTAAAAAATAAAATTGGCGCTAAGAAATTATTTGCACATACATATGTATCACTAGTCCGTAGGCATTTACACTTGTACTTGCTATTTGTAAATCATTAAATTATTATTAAAATCACTATGTCATTCAATCATTCGATCATTATCTTTAATTCTATAACTACAACTGTAAGATAACAGATTATCATTTAATTAACTTCTAATAATTGTTATAACATTATTATATGTATATATTTACATAATATACATATAATATTTACACACTGAGTTATCTCACGTCGTGATATCTGTGTTAGTAAATTAATAAAATAGTAAATTTTGGGAAATTAATAAAGCCCTGCATGCTAACCCAACGTTTGAGCAAGCTATTTATTAAAATAAATCATATACGACAAAGCTTTCACAATTGTAATATGTAGTGCAATTTCGCGGGATACCTCAAAAAGAACTTTTATCCGTCTTCAAAGCACGCAGTAGCTTCTACTATTGCAAGTATGGGAAAGTAGGCTCTTGTGAGGAAATATGACCGCCTGAATTAAGACCAAAGAAGTATTCATTGTTAATTAATAGGCAATTAATGAGGTAAGCGTCTGCCGCCCCGTGGATATTGTAGAGGCAAGTAAATTTAAAGTAAATTTCAATTAGTGGTTTTTAAGTTTAAATACCTACAAAAACCACTAACTGAAAGTATTTTTGCGGGTTTATTTTTAATCTTAATTCCCTACGTTTCGAACCTTTTACAGAGTTCATGGTCACGGGACAGACTGAGCCGTTGGACGCAGTTCAGAACGTTGAGGTGTCTGCATGTCATTGATAGCCTGGGCTATCACCAGTTTTTAAGTTATTAATTTTATTAATTGTTTGTCCAATCTACGCATAGGGTACCAAGTTTTTTTGGACTTACTAATGTTACTTAACAATATGAATTGCTTTCTCGTTTGCCACCTTCACCCATAAAAAGTCAGTTTTTCATTCAGTCAGTCTTTATCTCAATGGCTCGCTACTTCATATGAAGGTGTTGAAACTGTGGTCAATAACTTCGAGAGTATGGTTCCCAACAATAACCGGTACGAGTGACTTTTGCCACGATTTACATCTTTCCATGTTCATTTTAAGATCCACCTGTTGGGAAATGTTAGAGAGTTCTATGAGCATAGTATAAAAGTCCTCCAGCGACTCTGCCATGATGATATATTGTCGGTAACCATATATTGTCGGTAAAACGAGGCTGAGTGATGTACTCGTCGTTGATATTGATGCCAAATGTGTCCCAGTTTAGAAGCTTGAAAACATCCTTCAATTCGGTCGTGAACAGTTTCGGAGAATTGTGGTCTCCTTGTCTCACGCTTCTCTGCACTTGGATTACTTTCGTACTCGCATGCACTTGAGTAGACATGGTAGCGTTTCAATACAAAAACTACAGCACCTCGATATACCTATAGTCGTTGTAGCAGCGCTTTCTCGCGCGTATTCCCCACTTCGATTGAATCGAAGGCTCTCTCATATTCCAAAAACGTTAAACACAATGGCCATCTATATAATCTAGCGAAGCGTGCGGATGTAGTCTATGGTGCTAAAGCCTTTTCGGAGCCAGGCTTATTAGGGGTCTGGAAGTTAACAAATCTGCGATCGAAACGGTAAAGTTGTTTATGTAAATACCTTAAAAGTTTTTATTATTTTTCTGTGAGAAATAGGTAAGCAAGCTGGCGGTTCACCTGATGTTAAATGATAACCGTCGGGTTGCAGATGGGTTGCCACCTTTTAATAAAGTGGGCCCCGGCTACCTCAGTCACCAAACGAAACGCAGAGATACCACACACCGTGACTCTGGGTGCACGCTTTGAATTCAATATACTCGAGAAACCAGAGTTCAAATCCCGGTACCGGCACCAAATTGTTAGGTGCTATTTAAATGCTGACTTATCACTTGCTAAGAGGTGACGAAAACATCGTCAGGAAACAATAGTAACAAAAATATCTATTTTATATGTATGTGGAATCCTCTAATCTGCTGTGGGGTCGCGTGGTGAATTATGCCTTTATATCAAATATACGGTGAGGCATTTGCTCAAAAGTGGCACTTATACCGGCTGTCACTGTATATAGACTTTTACTTATATAGAATGAACTTTCTTTTGTGTACGTAAAGGAGTTGCTAAGTTAAAATGTGGTAACTTACGGACGTATTAATTTTTATGTAAAATTTTGACATTTCATAAGAACGCGCAAGCGTCTATGTGAATAAATATATTTTTGTTTTGATTTTGATTTGAGTTCTCAGTAGCACAAATGCTTAGAGCTTCTTCTAAGCTTCAGGACCGGGATCGTGGGTTTGATTTCCATCCGGTTCAAATGTTTTTTTAGACCTCAGGCTGGTCTTTAAAATCCTAGACAATATCATTAACAACATGATCCACATTTTGTGCCAACCACCTAGGTGGAATAAGAGCAGGAGAAATAAAAAGAAAATACGTGAGGGATGTTGTTTCAAATAAACTTCTCTTTTAAATGAACTTTCTTTCTTTTAAATAGCATTTACTCTCATTTCAGAATGTCTACTTGTCACGTTTTCCCGCCACTAATCACGCCGAGACATATTAATGGGAATTATTTCTGACGACACTAGTTCGTATATACTAAAACCTGATATTAGTTTCGAATGAAATATACAAGAACTGTGACAATTTCCTTGAATGGAAAAAGGATGATTTTAAAGAAAATACCGTTTTAACATATACACGACGCAATTGCCAATGTTGCCTTGGCTTCGGTGCTGGGAGTCGTGGATTCGATTCCAACACGAGACAACTATTTTTATGGCCCACAGATTGTTTCGGATCTGGACGTTAGTCCACGTGAAATTTATGTATGTAAAACGTCCTTACAATACAGGATAATGATATTCTACAGTAACCGAGCAATGTTTCCAAAGGGAAGATAACAATAAATCTTCTACGTCGCAGCCAGTCGTTGTGACTGTCTATCCAATCCCTTCCTCAAAAAGTACAAAACAATACAAAAACCCGATATGTAGATTTCCTTATAAAAACAATCATAAAAAAAGAAAACAAAGAGCAACCGACTATAAATCCGCTGTAATGAGCTAATATCCATCACGCACATTGGACGCCCACTATCCCACGTATTCGCCTTGGCAATGATTGTAACTAACGTTAACGAACTTTACATGTTGAAGAGACATTTCAAATGCTAATCTTACATAATTTATATACATATGTAAAAGATAATTTTTTAACAAGCAAAAGGCTTAGGATTTTACATAAGATTTGTTTCATAACATAATGAAAATCGATGTAATTTTAATGTAAAGATAAAATCGATATAAATAAGAATAGATCAACATAAGCTTTCATGGTGAGCCTTAGTAAAGCAACGAAGTATACGATTCTGATATCTAATCTCTAATCTAGCTAATTTTTACACGCCAGTGACACAGGCGAACAATCACTTATTTAATTAATATTGTGAATATTCTCAAAGTAATTTTACAATACATACATGTACAGACACACAAAATAAGTTTATGAAATTTTACGATGTACTTCCATTTACTACAAAGTAATAACAAATAAAACTATTTTAGTTACCGTCTTCCTTGTACTTCGTCCTAGTCTTCAGATATGGACGAATAAGATATGCAATTAGATCTAATTCCGGATACAATTGACATTGAGCTGGATTGTCAGTCACTGTGTGGGACGCATAGTCGTATGTCAGCGCTTAGCACAGCTGGTGGGCGCATGCCTTGCATCCGCCTGTTGCTAGATCGTCTGCATTCATCATAGTGACTGCTGTCACATGCAAGTCGTTACTACGTGACGTACTGTACCTGTGCATATGTCCCGATATAGCATAACACGTTTGCATTCGACTCAAGTCTACACAGACGCTAGTTCCAATACGGAGAGCGTCCTTATATTAATCCTTACGATTACGAATTATATTATATTGGCCGTTTTCCGCATTCTTACAAATAGTGGCCGAGTTCTATCGGTTTATGAAGGAAATTCATTGTACAGGTTAAATATAGCATTACGTTAAATACAATGTCAATCGATAAAATTTTGACTTTTAAGAAACAAGATTAAATGGATAGTTAATACTTTCAAATTAATTATACTAATGGTTTACCATACTTGAAAAACTTCGGCTATATTCGTCAAAGTCGAAGCGAAAACTGTAGAAATATCCGCAACTCATTTCTAGCGAATGCCGAGATTCCAATATCGGAGTGTGCCCACACGAAACTCGCATCGATACGACAAACAACGCGAGAGACCCCGACTTTATCGTTTGTAGGAATCTAAGAGAAAATCAGTGCCGCCGAGTGGAAAGGTCCCGCGTACGTGCCCGGCTTAAGCAAGCGGCGGCTGCGGCTCTAACGAACGAACCGCCCGCCTGATTGGCACGAGCCGTGGCCGAATCGCCCCGGGCGCCACGCCCTAGCATTACATCCGAATCGGGAAAAAATCAAAGCCCGAACGCACGGGGCATCGGCAAACAAACAAATAATGCAATCCCAATACAAATGAGCCAGCGACGATACGGAGACGAACGCCAAGGCGAGCCGAGCGTGCGGCCGGAGCAAACAGACGTCCGCCG